ATTTTTATTTCACGTAACTTGTGGTAGAATGAATTTTGAAATTAAAACTTTATGAAACTATATTGAAAAGTGAAATTTTTTTTTTTGAAAAATTATCATTTTTTGAAGCACAAACAACTCCATAGTGTCAAAAATTTCGTTTGTAAAATCAGAGTTTTGCTTTCATACGATTAGTTTTCATAAAAAGTATGTTTTGTTAAGGTGACGCTTTACTGTTTTGACTTTCTAACTAGCTATTTCTGACTAACGAAAATAACGGAATATATGTCCTCGGGGTGGTTTTTTTTTCAGACAAATTTTGACTTTCTAACTAGCTATTTTTGACGGAATTTATTTTATTTCATTCGAAGGGTTTCGTTGTCTTGAACTTAAAGGTGAAAAGATATTTCAACTGTGATCATTTTTCGTAAAGTTATGGGGGTTTAAAGATTCCATTTTGGCCAATTTGTGACAATTAACGCGCGATATATTTCGCTCTATTGACGCGTAAGCGGAGATTTAACCCGGCTTAGAAGTCGTTCTCAACTTCTTGAAAAAAGTTTGTGTGTCATAATTGATTTATTAAAAGGAGCAAAATCTATCTTTTTGTATTTTATATGGTGTCGTCTTGCGGAATGTGACTGTTTAGACTCAATCTATTCCTTCTATATTGTCCGCTAATTTCCTTCCCTAAATACCAGAACCAGCAAGGGATGAGCTGTGATCCGGTATTTGGCGACAATCCCTTCGGTTGAAAGGTTGAATTTGGTGGTCGATCGATGTACTACACTGGGTTGCGCCCCCTTTTCTCGATTGCTCTCGACTATCGACTGTTCTCTTCCTCGGAAAGAATTGCAAGAAACTGGATAGTAATTGAATTCAGAGATAAATATATAAATTGCCGAGTATAAGGACCGCTAGGTGGCCTGAATACAATCTATTAAGTAACAATGAATTTAATCTGCGATAAGTTCCGGAAAGCTGCCTCTTGCAGTTCACTTTACAAGCAATTCTAAACAACTCTTTAACTTTGTTTCACAAAGCTTCACTAAAAATCTCGCGTCGAGAACTCTTGTTGAAAATTTCACGAGTCACTTTCAGGACCCGTCTGATTTCTATAAGTCCCACAATTGTTCTCTTCTAACTAACGGAAAATCAACTATTCGATTTGCTTGCAATAATTCTTCTGACTTTTACAGGCTCTCCGGTACCCTCCAATTCCTTATCTTTCTTTACACTTAGTTTTAGTTAAGTCACGCCATTCCCTATCAGTCCTGACATCCGCCTAAATCACCCGTCCGCTCACGTTTAAGGCTACATCCCTCCCCCTGTCAACTCTGCAACGTGCCAACTTCGGTTTCTTTTATCAATCTTTTCACGCTTTTTAGATACCCGGTATGCGGTAGCTGTCACAATTTGACCAAGTAAACAAATGTCATACGATTTTAATCAACCAATTCCTGAACTCTCTCAACTTCAGCTTTCGAGTTCAACTCAACCTCCAAACCATGCTATGTTTACGCAGTAATCCTCCCAAGGTCTTTATTTTAATTATTACTATTTTTATTATTACCTTTTTTCGGTAGCTAATTATAAGCTAATTGGGTAGCTAATTATAAGCTAATTATAAGTATTATTATAACCTTAAACTTTCGGCCTCCCAAGAGTAGACGAGGCCCTTTTTTGGGTAGCTAACTAATTTCAGGCATCTAAGTTTTCTATCTGTACTCTATTCCAATCCCGACCTTCTAGCTATCAGGGGAACGTAGTTCGTCCATTAGGGGTCAAATTAAACCAAAAAATCACCTCCGGAGAGCCAAGTAAACTTCCCGTCCATTCATACTGTTTAGGAAACCAAAATCTCATGCTATGCTTCTATTACTACCAATTTCCTCTGGGACTACTTTTCTTTTTACCCTGATTGATATTCTATTAATAGCGCATTCGCCGAGCTAAATTGAACCCAATGTTTACCAAGTCCACTTTAAATTAAATCCTCTACTCCAAGGTTGTAATGTAAAAGCTATATCTCTATCAGCTTCTGCTCTAGTTCCCAATATATAAGTTTTCCCCCAATTTTTAGCAAGACGACTCATTCTCATTTCCAGGGTTTGGGCTGGGAAATACGCCACTTTCTGGTGTTAATCTCGGGGTTTTCCATGCAAGTTTGGGTCAAAACGCTCAAAGGTCAACTTAAGGTCACCCAGGGGTCAACCGGGGTCAAAGTTCCATATTTGGGTTCAGAATCCCATGGGGGCCCTAACTACCAAGTTTCATTCATATCCCGTTAATACTTCCCAAGTTATCCCATTTCTAAGGTCCACTATCACTTTTCCCGGGAAAAGGCTATTAACACCGGAAGGAGTCACCGGAGACGTTTCAATCACTAGGGGTCTTTTTTCGGTGTCCATATCTTATGTCCATTGCCGCAATAAAATCGATATGCCCTCGCTCATTATTTCGCGAAAATTGCCTACTTTCGGTCTAAGGGGGTATTTTTCCAAGTGCTAATAGCTTCCGGTCCAACCGCCGTATTTGGTTCAAAATATAATACAAGATGTATCTTGCCACTACCTATCATCCCTCCAAGTTTCAGCTCCCTGCAATCATTGGAGGTCGAGTAACGACTTCCGGAAGTTAGGGGTGGGTTTGTTTACTTAGGGCATAAAACCGGAAGTGGGGGTCTGAGGAGTCTGGGTTCCCAAACTTAAGCTCCCCTTAACCAGGCCTACAACATACTAGAATTTGAGCCCAACACCGCCGCTAGTTTCCGAGTTCTGATAGGGCCATTTACACTTCCGGGGACCGTTATCACTTGCCCCCCAAGGGTCTGAGGGGTCCCGTTTTTTGTATGCCCGGGTCAAATCATCTCTAGTATCGCTCCTCTGAATTTCATAACATAAGCTTTCTTAGATCCGATTTGGTGGGGGGGGGGGGGTTCGCCGGCTTTGCCAATTTTTTTTTTCTGGAATAGGAATGACATTTTCTGCCAACTTGATCTATTTTAAGCGTGACTAATTGTTTACCTATTTACTTATCTTATCGGATAATAACTCGAACTACTTGTATTTGAATTTTGAGTTGCAATTTTGTGTGTAAACCGACAATACTTCAAGATGAAATATTCTGAATAATTCAAAATTGTAGCTTTTCTTGAGGCGGGATCTAACGAGCGTAAAGCCATGCTCCGTGATTTGCCCCGAAAAGACCGTTATGCATTCCGCCGCATGGCTTTATCCTTTTCTCTTTCTAATCATACACTTTATCGTTTCGGGAAAGTGACGTTACACGACGGAAACGCTGCCTCTACCCTACAAGATTTGCACGCCTATGAATTAGAGCACCAGGGTGGTTCGATACGTCTCGAGCGAGCCGCATCCTCGAGATTCTACTTAAAGTCAATAAGAGCCCACTGTCGAGCCGCCAGCGGTGCTTGCAACGGTTGCAAAGTTCTTTATGCGATCATGATCGACGACGGACCGATGAGGCACCTTAGTTCTAGCACCAGGGAAACGGTGTGCCGGAAGTTTAATCTCAGCATGGGCAATATCCCGTTACCAACGGAGGACAGCCCCACCATGAACTTAACAACACACGAACCGATCACCCTTGAGTGTGCCCGCCCAAAATCGAGTTGTTTTATGGATTGTATTCACTATTTGCTGACAAGTAAACCTCATAAATCTACACGGCTGCAAGCCGAGTTAACCAAACAGCAACGGGAACAGTCATCTCGTTACAACTCTTTTTATTTCCCCCTTTCAATCCCGGGCAATCCCTTCTAAACTGGGGCATTGTTGAAGCTGATTTACACGAACTGGCCCAGCTGCTTGGGGTTCATTTTTACGAAAACTGCGCTGAACAAAAACCCCCAGATGGTTATATATAGCAGGAAATCACCGCGGCCAGAATGGCTCCGAAGCCATTTATTTGTATTATTGTACTCAAACTGAGGGACCTCAGCAGGGTGAAGGACATTCGGCCCTTATCACAGGAATGAGGCCAAGAGCTTCTTAGGTAAGCCTAGAATTTCATATTCTACATATGGCATGGGGGGATGTTTTTCACAAAAAATCTAAAATTAAAAAAAAAATTTCAATTTATTTTATCACATTTATTTTTTAAATCTTATTACAGCTCAATAGACCTTAAAAGGCAGTCGGAACATTCAGGGCTTCTCTCTGATACGAGAAGTCTTGATGAAAAATTTTTGATCCCCAGTTTATCAGTATGGGGCTGAAAGAGTCCAATTTATCTAAAAATGGCTAAATTAGGCCATTTTTTAGTAAAAGGAGCTATATGATCCCAGTATAGCAAATCGGGCTCTATCTTTTGTTCTTTTTAATTTTTTTGATCGATTATAATTAGTGGTTACCCCCCAATTTTGTTTGTGTTTACATTTGCTGTGGTGTTTTTGATCACATATTCTGCTGTAAAGTGAATTAACTGACTTCAATTTTTTATCAACGGATTTGATGCAAATATGTTACATCAGCAGCCGGCTCTTTTTCATTTCTCATTTATTTTAAATTCCTTCTGATAAACTGTTTTAATGCTGACATTGAGCAATGAAACTTGGTACGATGAACAAAATAACGATTGTAAGAACGTTTGTTCTTCATACTTTTTATCGTAACATCGCGCCATTTATCTGTATTATTACGTAACACAAGATAGGAAAAATTGAAATTTGGAAAAAATTGGAAACGAACAAAGCAACTGTCCTGATTTAAACGGGAAGCAACTTATTAGCCAAACTTGTTTGCTGAAAAACTTAAGAATTTCAGCTTTTAGGTCTTTCTACTTAAGTTTTGTTGGATTGATGCAGTTTTTTTTCTCTGTCAATTTTATGTTTGAAACTTTTAATTTTTTTTATTGATAAAAATAGTTAGTTAGGGCAATTTTTGCTGGCAACTATCTGAAAATGGACAAATTTTTTTGATAGTTGGCAGTTATATGCTAATAACGATAAATCATTTCAGCTTAAAATCTAAATTCCGACCCGAGTGGTTCAAATTCACCTTTTGTTTCTCGACCCATTCATCCGTCTCTTCGTGGAATGTGTCGGCTAAGTTGACGAGGAGCTCAGGGATTGTCAACATGGCAAAAGCGGAGCCAACACATATAAACAGAATCGATAGTTTTTTCTCGTATTCGATGTTGCTGAATCTAAAATAAATACTCAATTATTTAAAAAAAAGGACATTGATTGCTCAATTATTTTTAAAAAGGAGCTTGATTGCTGAACCTCTTTTCGCTCTCTAAATTTTGTGTTTTTCTCCTATTCTTTTCAATCCAAATGGTTTACTAAGGAGCAGAAAAAGCTAATATAATCATAATTGAAGAGACCACATTTGAACAAAGTTAACGACGGCGATGATTGGTTTAGTGTTTTTACCTGCTAAAAGTCATGCTAAAAATTCAAAAAAGAAGGTATCAATCTAACATCTTTATCGAAAAACATAATTATCGAAAAAAATTAGCGAAGCAACATAATTATCGAAAAAAAATCAATTGACGGGATCTCTTCAACTAACCCACTGCCCTTTGCAAGGAGCGGGATTCGTTACTAGGTACAAGCTTACATATATTTAACTGTTGAATTAGTTCTTCATAGGGGTACAGTTCGTTACTAGGTACCAAAGGGGGGAAATAAAAGAGGTCCAATTACCGGGCAAACAACCCGATGAAGAATGAGAAAACCCCCCACACTCGACCCTTGTTCGTTTTAGCCCCGTCCGAGCTGTTGTCCCTCAAGTCCGACTGATAGTCTTCATGCTCATCCGTTCTTATGTCATCGCCTGGTCTGTCTTCCGTTACTTCACGAGTTACGTCATTCGTTACGTCATTTTCAATTGCGACATCATCTCTCACATCATTTGTAGAATCAATTTTCTCGTCTTGCGTCACGACTGAAAAATCGGGCGATTCTATGACGTTCGTTTTCCTTCCAATTTCAATTTTAATTGAGCTTCGCGGTTGATCCCCTTTTTGGGACCGCTTCCTGTACAGCCATTTGTTACCCGGGAAAATTACAGTCTCTCCGGGTTGCTTTATGACTTCAGAATGACCGCTAAGGTGTTCGGCTTTTTCCGGTCCTATTCTGGACCCCGAGGCTGGGTCAGTTGTTGACTCAGCGGTCATTCCTGTCAAACTGCTGTCCTCGGTTTGAACATTTTGTTTTGGTTTTATGAAAGCGATGGCTTTTGCAGCCCTGTGTTCACCTCCTGAAATAGAAAACAAAAAAATTCTCAAAAAGCCACAAAAAAATTCCATGTAATTCGTATGAATCGTATGAAGGGGCTCAAGAGCTGTTCTCATCGAAGAGCTGCACAGTTCATTTGTTGCTCCTTTTCTCTTGTGGATAAATACCTTCGATCATTTTTTAGCAAGTGGTGTTAAAATTTGGCTCATGAAAAAGTTGAATGACTGGAAACGTTTTTCCGTATGATGGTCAAACTGAAGTCGACATTCGTCTTTGATCGGCATATCTAGCGCAAAAACTTTTCAATGATTAAAACTATTGTACAAAGTTATATACCTAAGACGACCAATCGGAAAATGAGACGGCTTAGCATCTGAAAATATCTGGACAAAACGAATAAAAACTCCAATTTAAAACGCGTTTTTCTCAAAGTGGTTCGACATAAGACAAAAAATGATGGCGACAAAACTAGCTTTTGGTGCAATTTCTTTTGCAAAATTTGGGACCATAATTTTACCCCAAACCTCTCGGGTTGACCTCAATGCACCAAGAGTGCTTATCATACAATTCCATTCAACAAAAATCATTATCAAACAATTCCATACATCAAGTGTATGGAGAAAATGCTTGTCATAAAATTTTCATACATTTTCGAAAAATATTAGAAAAAAAACTCAACCATTACTGCGGCTTTTTGAGAACAGTTGAACAGACTGGTGACAAAGAAAAAACAGATTTAATTTTTTTTTCAAAAATGCTTACCATACAATTTCCATGCATGAAAATTGTATGACTGGAATTTTGTTGATGGCGACACAAAAAGTTTCCCAAAAAATTTTGAAAATTTGCCCCGAAATATTTTTTTCAACCTCAAATTGAATTTTGTACGCAAAAAATATTTTCCGAAAAAAATCTTTGCATGCAAAATTTAATTTTTTGTGTACATAACGTAGCCAAAATGATAATAATGGCTTTTTTTCTTTTCACTTAAGTTTTTTTATCCAAAAGCGTTGAAAATTCCTATTTCGTTTGTACGGTGTGTTTATGTATGCCTTGATCAAAGTCTGATAGTTTGAAACTTCAAAAAATTAGACTAATCATCATTGAAAAATTTTATCAAAAATTGAAAGTTTGTTACTTTGTTATATTATTTGTGATAGACAGCTGGAAGAAAATTCGTGTCGTTTTCTATGCATTGTAAATGTAAGACCGTCCAACCTTTGGAGCTTTGAGTAACCAAGGTGTTTGTTAATTGTGTTCGGTTGCAATCGCACACCAAAATTTTTCAGAAAATAAACTTAGAAACAAAAACAACTTTTTGGGTTATGGTCAAAAAACCTATCATAAAATTTCCATTTACATGAAAATGTTTTATCATAGAAATTTCATACCATTTTCTGTATATATCGAATCGAATGGAATTGTATGAAAAGAAAGTTCCAGATTATGAGAACTGTATGATAAGCTTTTTTTGTTCAACCCGGGCTATCGTTTTTGTTATTTTAACCAATAAAAATCTAGGCCACAACTACCAGGTGCTAGCAAAACTATACCAATGTGAGCCTCTTATTAAATCTCTTAAAACAAAATTTAAAAACGGTATAATCTTCAAAGTTTTATATAAATAAATTTATTTCTGTTCAATAGCCAATAATTTTACGTTATAAAATCATAGTTTTTTTTTTGAAATTAATTTCCATTGTTTTTGTTCAAAACTTTATAGGTTACACCTTTCAAAAATTTTGGTGGACTACATAAGAGGAACCCTCTGATAAATTTGTGTTAGCATTTGTCAGATCTGGAGTAGTTTTTTATTGGCTAAAAAAACTCAAAAACTCCTCATCATTTTTTGCTTAAAGTAGACCCATTTTGAGAAAAACGCGTTATAAATTTCAAGTTTTGTAATTTTGTCCAATTGATATTTAAATCAGGACTGTCGTAAATTATCGTGGTACAATTTCAATTCTCAGCAACACAACAATAGTCATTAATCTGAAAGCATAAAAAAGAAACTGCTGGTATTTCAGGGCAAAGCCCTGAATGTTCCGACTGCACTTCAAAGCCAATTTACTTGTTTTTTTTTTGTAAATTTATATCCCCATACGCTAATGTAAACTACATAAGGATGAATTTAACGTCTTTTATCCCAATAATATGACCGAAGGATTGGACTCAGTTCTATTTGGAACACACTAGTCCGCGTTTACGCTTGTTATAAGCACGTAATATGCCGCGCGTTAATTATAACAAATTGGCTAAGTTAGCAATTTCATATCTCATAATCTTGGAAAGATAATAACAGGTGAAATATCGTTTTAAAATTGAGTGCAGAAAAACAATATCTTACAGATGATATGAAAAACTCTATCAAAATGCTTAGTTAAAAAGTCAAAATTTGATTGCACAAAAAAAACCCACACCAAGTATAAATAATCCGCACTTTCTTTGAAAATCAGAACAAAAAGAGGAATATTTTTTCGTTAACTAATTTTAGGACTCATGCACTCCTAGGGGGAGATTATTGTTCCGACTTTCGTAACGAAAGTAACGAAATATTTGTGCTCTCCTGGGTTTTGTTCTTCAGAATTCAGACAAATTTCGGTTTTTTATCTACGGATTTTTTTACTTAACTAATGAATTCTGTAACAGTTGCACAACTTGAATTAAAAACATTCGATCTAAATTTACTGAAGGACGTACGCATCAAAAATAGAATTTTAGACTTGCGCTAGAGCTTTCCAGTCAAACATCTATTTTTGCTTGGTAGAAATTTGCTTTTTTAATCTTCTCGACAATGTCTTCTTTCTTCAAAGAGAGAATTGTTAAGTAGATCCGTTCAGATTACGGTCCGTAATTGTCTGTTGAGTGTTAACTTAGTTGTGATAAAAAAAAGTAACAATTTTTCAGAGAATGCGGCAACAACCTTCAGTTGGTGATTAATCGTACATTTTCAAGTTTGCAGTTTGAATTGAATCAAATTACATGACAAAAAAATTAGTTTGATCGCTTTTAATGTTTTTTTTTGCTGAAAAGTGCTATTTACAACTGCGTATTTTGTCTTTTATAAATCATTTCTTATGCAAAAATTTTATCAGAGGGGCAAAATAATTTCGATTATTTAGTAGCCCGAGTTGACAACATTTTTTTGACAGCATCATACTTTGGAACAATCATGTCTTGGTCAAAAAATTTGAATGAAAGTTTTGACAACTAGCATTTTTTCTTGCGTTTGATTAAGTTTTTTTGCCTTTTGATTATTATGTTTTTTATAGAGTTCGGTGGTTAACAGTTTGGGTAGTTTTTATTTACTAAGTTTGGCTATCAAAACCAACATATTGCTTATTAAAAAAATCTTTATGTTTTGTTGAAGCTACGTTTTTCCTGACTATAAGTTGAAAAATATGTAATTTTAGCTTCAAGTTTTTTTGTAAATACTTAACGAACTGAAAACGTCAAGTTTGTCTGAAAGTCTGGAGCAATTTAACCAAACTTTGAAGATTCTTTTCATGATACTGAAAGATTGACACAAAGAACTTCAATACGAGGCTAAATTGTTCGCTTTGTGACTTGTAAGCAATTTCTGCAACACACCAATAAGATAACCGTTGCGGAATCATAAACATTGCACTTTTTCTTTTTTTTTAAGTATTATTTGATGATTTGTATTCCACGGATAAATAGCAGGAATAAAGTATTTCTGAAAAATGCTCCAAAACAGGCATCCGCAATACCATTTGTGGAGTTCGAAACAAAACTTGGGGAACTCGGAATAATTTGTGGAATCCGTACATATAAAATAGTATTTGTGTTTAGTATACTTCAGCTCTCGTGGAATCTGCAAGTTGTTAGCGGAATCCGCATAAATCTATGTGAAATCCGCATAAGTTTTTGAGATCTTCTTCCGTTTCCGGAATCCTCTTTCAATTGCAAAATCAGGAACAACTACCAAAATTCAATCGTTGCGGAATCCACAGGAATTTTAATAGGACAACAAAATTTCTGTAACAGGTGTTTGTACGCACATTTCAGAGAAATTTTGTCTGTGGAAACTACTTACTTTTCGGATCATGTTTAAAAACTTGACTCTGGAATCCATGAACACAAATACACTAAATTGTGCGCCTACACAGTGCACAGTTTGGCCTAATAATACTGCTCGGCGATTGATTTTTTGTGCTAACGTGAATTGTGATAATTTAATTAGTGTTACTAATTTTCTGTACGACGCAAACGAAACTTATTTGCAGAAAACTTGCAGCAGTTCAATAAATTAAGTCAAATTTTTTTTTACCAAAAACTATTTGAGGCCCGACTCAAATATGGGGCAGCTATAAACCCACAAGTCGAGAATTAAAAGTCTCGCAAAGAAAACTGCATCTAAATTAACGCAGAAAGTTTCATAGGCAGATTGGAAACAGAAGTATCAAAACTTTTTGTATACAGATGGAAAACTTTCTGGTGTTCAGAGTTAATTGGCTGAAAAAAGTGGCCTAATCATTTGGCACCTTTAAATTGGTTTCGCCAGTAAAAAAAAAACT